ATTAATCAGACACTAGACGGCTGTCGTACCGCGGAACTATGATGTCGAGACCTAACTCAAAACAATAACCGTATCATTACCTTGATCCTACGCCTAACTAGAAATCCCAAACCCCAAGGTAATTTTAAGGCGTGGCCATCGCAGTCAGTTGTAAGACGAATTTCTTCGCAAGCAGCAGTATGAGCACGGAAACCAGAAGGAGGCTAAAAGTAGTAAATGTTAACCGCCTACTGAAATCAATAATAGTGCAAAACGGATAAGCGATTGACGAAACAGGACAGAATTTCAGAGCTATGACCAAATACTTTCAAAGGAGAAACGAGAAAATCTCATTTGCTTCCGCTTTTAAAACGCGAACTGAGACACCATCGGGTCTAGGGCTATGATATTGGCGAAAATGCCATGTCGCTACAGTCATGCCGCAGAGCGTGACAGCATCGGCCCAAACCTGGGTTTTCTGAAGCAGAGCGGTCGAGTATTTAATAAACCCTTTGAACAAGAACGCAATGAAACTGTCAGCGGTCGGCTAGGCCTCTGCTGTAGGATTCCGAAAACCGTCTTGTAGGAGGGGATGTTGCACGTTTCTATCGGTCCTTACCGTTCGAAAAACGTTTCGCAAAGCCTACTGGGCAGTTTTTTCACAGTGGATCTCTCCGGCTGGCTGTTTTTCTTCGAGCAATCTCCTGTCCTTTTAAAAATATGACAAATCAAGAGCGGAACGGAAACATCTTTTTGAAGACGGAATTGTCAAGAGAGTCTACACGACATACGTCGGAAGGAGAAGGGCGTAATATCTCCTCCGCTACATCAATTACTTTCTTACGGGGAACAGGACGAGAAATAAGTGGGTCCAAACATTCGTACAATTTAGCGGCGCAAACATCAACCTGCGAACTTTGGAATAGATTAGTCCAGCCGTATGAATTATGTTATCAGGTAAATCCGCCGGTGTGTTTGCCGTCAACTTCGCCGGACGATCCCACAAGAGCGAGCGCTCCGATTTCATCCATTATTCTTCTACTTTTTCAGATATGTTTTGTACTCGTTCTGAGGCTTCCTTAATTATGACAAAAAGGCGCCCACCGATGAGGTTACGGAATGCGTTTTTTTCGTTGTGCCTTAAGGCTCTTACCGGAACCGTCACAGGCAGTCGCACAGCGATTTGTAGTAGGAGCCAATGACTTGGTACCGAAAAGGGCAAGGGCAGCCGGAATTGCCATTTCTGGCCTATTCACCGTGATCAACCATTCATGCCCAACCAAAAGTATGGATCACTTGAGATTCGAACGCGGGATCTCTGGTCATGGAGTTTGACACACTACCACTAACACTCTATCACTGTATGACTGCCTGCGAGGGCTCTAGTATGATCCCGATGACACGACGGAACAAGTACGCTCCGTAACCTGATCGGTGAGCCTCCATCTGTCACAAATGTTATTTCTGACCCCAAACGACAGGGCAACGGGTCCTTAGCCCAGTGGTAGATTGTCAAACTCAATGACCAAATATCCTGGGTCCGAATCTCAAGAGATCCACGCTTGGGGTAGGTTATGACTGCCTGATGACGGCTAACAGGCCAGAAATGGTCATTCCGGTCTTCCTTGTCTTTGTCGGTAACATTTCGTTTCTAAATTCTATTCTGAGTGTAATTCAGTAGATTGTGGATGGTTTGGCCACCCTGTTGAGGTTTCAGTAGGGGCGTGAAACACTCTCTGGACTACTACACAATATGATCTACCGGGGAAAGAGCTAATGACCACATATCGTTCTCTTTTATAGACGTCATGTTAAGGCCTAAGCAGTGAAACTACTTTCACAGCTGCATTCTCATTAATCTCGAAATTTGAGCATTGTTGTTGGCTCTCGGACGTCGTTTTGGTTTGAAGAATAGGTGATAACCAAGTATGGGTATCGTATTATCAGTTCATTTGAGTAGGGGCTGAAGGGTTGAATTTTATACTTATGTAAAAACAAAATCCAAGCACGTATTTCTTTGTCACGCATATTCTTTCACACGAAATATTGCACTTTGTATGGGGAGAAAATTTAGGGTTTCAAGTTAGATGTTCGAGGAGCAAATTTGGACCTCGCGTTTGGGCAACGCTCCAATTATATCCCTGGCTTATTGCTGTCGACCGTGTTCATGATATATGTGTTGTCAGAAAGTGTTTAAATGGTTCTAATAAAAGAGAAACAGTACCTCCATCTGACCACAGTAGTTGGCAAACAGTAAATACATTGAGAAATGCGTAGACTGGAGTCTTGATTATAAAATCTGATGGATGGATCTTAGGTGCGGACAGTTAGTGGCATCTAGTTTTTCGGTTTCTTGTCTGTTCACAGCGTCACCACCCACATTTCCTCCTTTCTAGACACTAGTTAGACCACTAGCAGTCGGTTATTCTCAGACATAAATATGAGTTATCTCTTCTCTACCAGCACCGGCCTCGCCAACTCGCCTCGTGCTCCTCGGGGCTTAGGGAGGATGAGGAGACGACGACAGGGCTGTCAACGGGGCTGTGGCGGGATTTTCGATGATCCAGCCCCCATCTGGTCCCCTCACGGCAAAAGAAGGCTCAGCGACTCGCCCCCTTCCGCGCTTCTTTGGCGCCTATTTACGATTTAGCGTATTTGAAGTAAATGGGCTTACGCCCTTGGACTTCCTATTTGTACATAAAACTGCAAAAATCAGAAGCAACACGAAGAACTTCCAATAACAAGTGAATGCAGACATCGATTCACATGGGGAACTGGTTTTCTATGGTTCCAAAGTCACATAGTCCGCATGTTGGTAAAACATATGTCTATCGAGCCGAGACTTAAATGCCTCCACTGACTGAGGCAGTACAATCGCCTCAGGCAGGTTATTCCATGGTTTCACGACACGATTGGGGAAAAATACTTCCTCACTTCCTTTGGAAGCAAGTAGTTTGGAGGGGTGTCCCGGGGATTATTTGTAGTGGAGGGTTGGAAGAAGTCATCACACCGGAGGGCGCAGTCCAAACCACGCACGATACGGAAAGTTTTATCAATTCTCTGCGCAAAGGCCTATAACTCAGAGAACAGCCAGTAAGTTTATTCTGGCGGGCTTCGTAAGGCAGCGTACTTTGGCCTCTTACTAATTTTATGGCTCGCCTCTGCACCTTTCCGAGTAAATTACAAATCCTGTCCATGACATCCAAGCCTGTATTGTATATTCAAGCTGCAGCCTCGCAAACTTGCCAACGACTTTGCAGACGCATTCTTCACCGAAAACTGTGAATGCGCCTCTGATGGCGTAGAGAGTTGAACTTGCGTCTTTGGCTGCCTTACGACATTGCGTTGACGGTTTTTGATTGTCTACAAACCGGATTTCGATGTCATTCTGGGTTTTTGTTTCTCAGAGTGGCATCCCGTTTAGATAACATTGCTCCTTATCATGGATCTGATCTCGATTACCAAGACGCAACATTGTGCATTTGTTCAAACTGAAGGACAAAGGCCATCTGCGGGACCACGCCTCCAGTCGACAAAGATTTTCTTGAAAGTTGGTCTCGTCGGCAACATCGTGGATGACTTTCTAAATTTTAATATACTCTGCGAACGTGGCACAGCCACAGTCAAACTCCTCTAAACAATCATTAGTAAACAAGAGAAAGAGGGTCGGCCGGAGCACAGAGGCCTGTGGGACTCCACTCTGTATCAATGGGCCCTTGATTGCTATTGCTCCGCGCAGACAATTTTGGGTATAGCTGACGGGGAGATTCTTGATCAATTTGAGGAGTTTGTTGCCGATACCCGTCACTCTCAACTTGTAAAGGAGACGCTGGTGTGGAACACAGTCGAACGCCTTCTGGAAATCGATGTAGGCTGCGTGCACAGTGTATATGGCATCCAGTGCTCTCGTCCAGCTTTGCATTGTGTAAATCAAGTTCGTTTTCACACAATCTTCTCCCACAAAAGCCGCATTGGGCATTGGGCGGGAGGTTGTGGGTTTCCAAATAAGCCACCAACTTCCGCATTCTACGCGTCATCCTACCTACCGTATACCTTGTACAGGATGCCGCCATGCCACATAGCACCTGCGTGACTGTCCATTTTGATAAATTAAAGTCCTTAAGAGGACACTTACCCCTCGCATCACACGAGAACCTACCCCTCCTTCCCGACCACTTAGTCCCAGAACCCTCCAACGATGTTACCGCACAGGACTCTTTATCACTCGTCCTTAGGGACCCTGTGGACAGGGCCCACCCTAAGATGGGGGAAGTGTGATACGGCAGGGATGAACTGATCCGCTTTTGCTTTGCGAAAGTGGTGTGTTCCGAAAAGTGTCATTGCGTATTTGTGTGCTTTCAGGAGCCATTGGCAGAGTCCAAATCCCAACCCCTGTAGCAGCCTTCAGCTCTACGATTCCCTTGGTTCATCCAGAAAGTGATCGAGATAGTGATAGTCGAGATAGTATTCTTACCTTCCTCCTGGTTCCAGAATTTGTATGCGTCCACTGACGCTTCTTGTTTTTTCGCTCTCCGTCTCTACCCATGTCCAATATAACTTTTACATGATCAACTCTCTTAGTTGTCCAGGCCATATCTGCTTGTGTGAGATACGGTCAGCCGTGTGATGCCAAAGTCAAAACTGACCATTCAGGCCAGCCGGGGCCAGCCCCTGTTCCACCCGCACCCATCAAGACGACGAAGGTTAACCTAGGGCCGATCTCTCCGACAGGACAGCCAGGCGGACCGCATAATACAGAAGTTTCTTGTCTAGATAAATCCATCACATTGGGTAGTTGGCCTACGAATCTCTGGTGTGTCTGTGAGCCGCCACATATCATCAGGATACCTGACTTGTACCGCACACTTATTCCCGAGAGAGTGCTAAAATATCTAGGAGTATGCGTATTTAGATAGTGCCATGCCTGTCCTGGAATCACCGATGCCTGCTTGAACAGTTACTATAAGTTTGTCGGAATAGAAGAGTGCGCACATTTACGAATAGGTGCGAGGTTTGGAGGCATGCAGCGTCTAAAGTACAAAGTTGGTAAGATTATCGCGACTGAACTACATGCATTTGTAGTAACTGCAAAGTTCTAGTTATAACCTTATTATGCACCGCCCCTAACGTGGACTTTCGATACCCGAGTAGGAAAGTACTGCCATGGTATTTTGAATGTGTGCGTGCACGCGACTTCAGCGTCTCAGATTACAAAATGCTCTCCCGCTGACATCCGCTCTTTCATGTGACACGGGTTAACACTAGTGTTAGGTACGAGTTTTATTTAGAGCACTAAACAAAAGCGTCCTTGGCTTACATTCCAGATGTGCCGTATACGAGCCCCAAGCCAAAATAGGCCATCATTGAGAATCATGGCCCAAATCTCACCATGCTATACATGTTTTTAGCAACTGAAGTCGACTTTCCAGAGCCAGGGATCGTCAACAATTGCTCCCCAAATAGGCATCTTAAGAAGCCACGGCTTGCATTTCGTCACCGCATTGATTCGCACATCCATCAACAGCAGCCCGTCAACTCAATGTCCGTACAGTATTTCGCAAACAATTCATCACATGCTTTTAGTCCTGAATAATTGAAAGTCATTCACTTGTCCATGCTCGTATGACAACCGCAAATGGCTGTGCTGTCGTTATGGCTAGAATAATTGCCCGCTTCCTGACGGACGGCTCAACGCGCTCTTTCCGAGAGCAGTATGAAGACGTTCGGTACCTAGCAGCTTGTCTTTTGTACAGGGAATTGCAAACTAAACAGAAAAAAGAACAACAACTCATAGTCGTTCCTAGTACAGCCATTGCTCAAAACCTTCGTGGTTTCTACACCTTTTTCTTTTTATAGCTGACATAGGATTGGCGGAATGGGGTCGCAGAGAAATCGACATTGCCGAGAACGAGATGCCTGGCCTAATGAAGCTTCGCCAGCAGTATGGAGAGTCTCAACCTCTGAAGGGTGCACGAATCGCTGGTTGCCTCCACATGACCGTGCAAACGGCCGTGCTCATTGAAACCTTAGTGTGTTTGGGCGCCAAGGTCCGATGGTCGTCCTGCAACATATTCAGTACTCAGGATCACGCAGCTGCTGCCATCGCAAAGACAGGCGTTCCGGTTTTTGCGTGGAAGGGTGAATCCGAAGAGGAGTATGTTTGGTGCATGGAACAGACATTGGAATTCGATGATGGCCCTCTGAACATGATTTTAGACGACGGCGGTGACCTAACGAACCTCGTGCACGACCGCTATCCTCAGTACCTTAGTGGTATCAAGGGGATTTCTGAAGAGACAACTACCGGTGTTCACAATTTGTACAAACGACTCGCTGCAGGCACCCTCAGCGTTCCATCCATCAATGTAAACGATTCCGTTACAAAGGTATGACATACACTTCCAAGCTTAATTGCGATCAGAGCAAGTTTGACAATCTTTACGGCTGTAGAGAGTCACTGATTGATGGCATTAAACGCGCCACTGATGTTATGGTGGCGGGAAAAGTGGCCTTTGTGGCCGGTTACGGTGATGTTGGTAAGGGATGCACCCAGGCTCTCAGGTCATATGGAGCCCGCGTTTTGGTCAGCGAAATCGATCCAATAAATGCCTTACAGGTAATTTTGGTCGCTTTATTGTAAATTAATATCGACCTTAGTCGTCAAATTTCTCATGCTCCACCCTTTCTTTCGGACTATCTAGGCTGTCATGGAGGGCTTCGAAGTCACGACAATCGAAGAAGCCGTTAAAGAGGCTAGAATATTCGTTACAGCTACCGGTTGCAAGGGCGTCATCTTGGGCAAACACATTGAACAAATGAAAGAGGACAGCATTGTATGCAACATCGGACACTTTAACTACGAGGTCGATGTTTCTTGGTTGGATGAGAATTGCATCGAAAAGGTTGAGGTAAAGCCACAGGTGCACCGCTACACCCTAAAGAATGGACGCCACATCATCGTCCTAGCTGAAGGCCGTTTGGTCAACCTGGGCTGTGCACATGGTCATCCTTCCTTCGTCATGTCCAACTCATTTGTCAACCAGGTTCTCGCGCAAATCGAACTGTTTACAAAACCCGAAAAGTACCCCCTTGGCGTCCACTTTCTTCCAAAAAAGGTACGACGAACAGTGTAACATTGCATAAGTAAAAAAAATTGTTGCTACCAGCATCTTGAACCGTTAGGGCCTTCATCTTATGATGACAAAACCACACTCAACTCCTTTTTTTAGCTCGACGAGGAGGTTGCAGCCGCACATTTGGACCAGTTGGGCGTCAAGTTGACAAAACTTACCAAGGAACAGGCCGAATATCTGGGCATCAATAGGGATGGCCCGTTCAAGGCCGACCACTACCGCTACTGAGACAATCATCAGGTTCTTCTGACAGGAACCCTTTATACACGTTTTACCTACCATCCCAACCTACAAAATAAACTTGCTTCACAAAGAACACTGAAATTTTAGTGGCCACAATTTGACGTTTTTTAGATCACGTACGATTTCGGGTGAGCAAGCAACAAGAAAGAGTTGTTGGAACTATGTGCCAAAACACTGGGAAATTTACAGAGACAACAGGCGGGTGATTAATCACATGTATGAATGTATCTAAACACATCCTTACATGCGTACGACGGTTTTGCCTAATGTAGAAGGATCAAAGTAACCAAGGCAAGAAAGGATAAGGGATTTGCACCTGCTCTTGTGTGCACGGTAGAAATCACAGATCGGTAGGCCGAACAAGGCCGCGGGTGGCGCGGTGGAATGAGTGGGGGTGTAGGGGACAGCACACATGCTTTGCAGTTATTACGGTTCTTGGGTTGGTAATCTATGAGGGCGAGGACCGTAATAAAGTAGCGACTGGGTTCTGACAACAGCGAGGTGAAGACTTGTCATTGTATACCATTCAGGACGCGGCCGGGGATTGCGACTTCTTGACTACGAGGCGGCCTGTTCAATGCGCTCAAATTCGGCCATAGCGTCGTTGAGTTCAATGAGGATAAGGCGCGCCATGTTCTCATGGGGAGTATTCATCCACTAGACATCAAAAAAGGCATTCATCATTCTGAAAACGATGGGAGCCACGCAGGAGCGTTCGATGAGGACACACCGGTCCGCTCCTGTGGGCTTCCTGCATTACTAATTCAACAAACGGAAAGGCACTGAGATTGAAGTCGGAGGTGTTCGGACAGCACCGTTCAGCCGACATCCCGTCGGCATGATTGTAGAACGGGCGAGAAAACTGCGGTCCGAACTGCTGGTTTTCCGACGTGGTAGTAATGAAAGCAAAGTCGTTAGTCCGTGGCTATGTCCGCACAAAAACCTGCCGGTACGTGTGCTGCATCAGCATACCACGCAGTGGCTATCAGTGTGAATAGACACCTGTTATGTGCTTCGAGCGTACGCTTCTACATTTAAGAATAACTGAGCCAAAAAGCTCACCGAAACCATGAATGCACTGTCATACATTAATGATACTACTGACGGCACTGAACCCAGTGTCGCAATTCCGGGTGTTGTTTATCGGCCGAAGACAACTATGCACAGGCATATGATTTTGTCGAAAGACCAACTAAAAGTTGGTGAGCAACCTGACTGGAATAACGGCTTTCCAGACAGAGGTTGACAATGTGGAAGGGATGGCTGATTACCGCCAACTTAGCGGGAACGGGGATAACTGCACGGGCTGTAGGCAGAGTGCCGGGAGCTGATCAGGACCATGAACTCTGAGCAGAACTCTGACTAATGAGTTTTTTCTCATACGTAGACCATTGTCAGGCAGGCAACAGCTCCAATTTCTTAAGAATCCTTGCCCCTAGGCGTGCGGATTTCCTTCCCAGGTTGCACTTACTCCTTCAAACATTACATGACATTTGGCTAATGGCCTTCTGATTGTATTCGGGCCAAGTTCAAAACACTGGGCAGTTCACCTGACATCATGACGAGGGGCAGAAAGTGGGGGACCAATTAGACTTCCCCTTGTAAAAGGGGGCTTCCGGTGTGGTCTAACACTCCAATAAATGGACACAATCCAGAACTACCGTCATCATTTTGGTTTTGCGGGCAGTGTCGGGTACTCATACGTCTGCAAAGGTGTTTTTTTGCCAGCGACTAGGGCTTTTTGCAGAAGTCGACGGACGGGAGCCCCGTTCACCAGTTCGCGAACAGCGTGCTAGCAGCAGTCGAGGGTCTGCGACCAGCTGCGAACACCACCTACTTCCACAAGTGCAAGATTGCTATATGACAGTGCATGAAGACTTGAAAGGTTGATTGGGCCTCAGAAGCACCCCTCCATTAGATCAGATTTAACAAGTATTTACACTCAAATGCCTCACCCGGTGCACCTAAAACTTAACAAGATAGCGGTCTTGAACAGTCGGCAAGGGTATGGCGAGTATTTACGATCAGGGCTGTGGCGTGTTTACCCGTCTAAGCACTTTGGCTTAGCCAATTTAATATAAACTTGGCTGTCGAAAGCGGCCTATGTGGAACAGAAAATCAAGAGATCACGCAATGATGCGAAAACCTTCGAGTCCGCTCCGAAACAGAAAAGGATATTAGCGCACAATATAAGTGCTGAGGCATGGAATGGGATTTTGTGTTAATGAATATGAACTGCTATATTGATTATGGTTACATACAAAAAAGACCTGGGTGTCTATTGATCACATGCGACGCCTGCGTACGTAATGAACTCATGAACGGGTCATTAAGCATGGAAATGTTGTGGGAAATTAGGCTTTCTTGGAAAGCAGCACTTAAAATCCTGTAAGTGAAGGAGAACTCCACAGTTCAGAGACGTCGACATGTGCCTAATTTTGATTCAGTTGAGATGTGCTCCTACTTATTCATCCACTTAATAATTCTATTAAGTTAGAGTTACAGAGCTAAACTAGCTCAAAATAACGATACATGACCAATGATAGAGGGGCGCTCATCGATTGCGTTATTGGACACTCGTCCCGCTACGTGCCTGGGGTTCAATTACGAGCCCCACCAGCAGCCGCATAGCGGCTAATAGTATATGCAGAATAACACTATTAGTCTCTTTTCTTTGTCGGCAATGTTATTCCACCGAAAGACGATCAGTAGCAAGGAGGCCCTGGAAACAGAGATGTGGCCGCGTTGCGAGAAGTGAGCGGATGTGCCGCAGCATACTGGATGAACAGCATTTTCCATGTTCTCCATCAGAACAAATGAAAAGTGGCTTAGCTGTTGCCTCGCAGAGCGCTGCCTAGCCCCAAAGCGGCCAGTCTAGATTTAAATCTCGGTCCCTGTGAGGTTAGGCACCTGACACCAGAAAACAACATTAATATTTCAGATCCCCTAGTTCCGGGAACCACTTTAGCTGGTATCTGCAGACATTACTGGACTAAAGCGGGTGTCAGATAATAACTGTCGAACACTGTCGAGTCATATCTGATGAGCTAAGGTCTTTACAGTGCGGTTATAATACACTATGGGAGACGACGAGTAACGTACGAAAAACACAATATTCCAGGTTGGTGTGCGCATAACAGCTGAATGCTCGTGAACTGGCCAGTCTTTCCTGCCGAGATTAATAGTATGACCAAGGCTCAAAAGAGGAAGTTGCTAGTGTTATAGCTATAGGTGTTATTTACTTTGGCGGTCATTCTGAAAAGACTGGCTTTCTTCACAGAGCTCAATCAATTCAAAGCTGAAGAACACTGGTAGCAACAAAACGGCCCTGCTGATTGTCATCTCATTATGAGGACTCTCAATTCAACGAACTTAAACGTATCTCGAGGTCGTGGGGAGCGGATAAGGATTGAGATTCGAAGTCTTTCGCCTGCGATGCTGACAAGAGACAGTTCACGAACGTATTAGAGGATTTCTAACGTAGTTGACTTTTGCAGGATCACGGAAGACCCAGCAGTCAGCTGCTGTTGTTTTTTTTTCTGCAGTAAGGTCGTGATCTGACAAATTGCAATGAAACTGGTGGCTCCCGAAACACTCATGGTGCATGGTAGGTTAGTCCTAAAATCAGGATCTTCCAAAACCGTCTTTGGCAAAACTTAAAAGTTCAAGCATTGTTTTATCAGAATAAATTTGAACAAAGCCAGAACGAGAAGATGGCATCATAAACTTTTAACTCCTCACAGTCATG